TTTCCACGCTGTATTGTCTTATAGGGCCCATCCTACGCGCACTGCTTCATTTTTCTTTCAGAAGTACGATCATAAGACCTGAGCACCAGTTAAGCTGTGGTGTGAAAAAGATGCGTCAAGATCATGTGATTTGGTGGGAAAGTGATTTGAGAAAAGAAAAATAGCTGAAGAGACAATTGCCTATTTAAACGGAAGTGATATCCGACAGAAAATCATGGTGTATCCTTTGGAAGGTCAGATGATTATTGCATTTTGAGTGCGGAAAACACTGCATTCATGAGCTAATGAAGGGAAGGGCTGTGTATCACAATAAGCTTTGATTCAAAAGGAATTCAAATACCAGAATCTCAGAGCCTGAAGTTCACGGAGGCCAACCCCCCTCTCCCTCCTGCTGGAATTCCCTCTATGTTCATTACATTCATAACATGGTGCCTGATGGAACTTTCTATGGAGACACATCAGCAGAGGATGATTGGATCACTGCCTTTGAATTGTAGCTTTTCTAGAGGCACCAATTAAACAGTAATTACTATATTGAAAGAAAGTGGCCTATTCAGCAGCATTTTTAACAAACACACTACTTGCTCACACCTGTATAAACCACTTTGGATACAAATATGCATTGTGGGATATTATTCTTGGACTACACCATTCATCTCTCAAAGCAGCTTCCCTAAGTTCGGCAGAAAAAGTTTTGAGGTCTATTAGGAAAACATGTGAAACATTCAACATATTCACTTGCTTTTAAAATAACAAAATGTTCATTTAGTTCAAATAATGCACTTTGATTCCAAAGCACATCTTCCCTACCAGCATGCTAGGTGGACATATATTAGAATTCCTTGCACAAATGAGGGAAAACTCTACCAAAAGAAAAAGACTATATCTTGCCAATAATTACACATTATCTATCTCTAAACTGGAATTTAGAACTTTTGGTCAGAAAGGGTTAGGGGTCATGTGAAGAACATAGCTTCCACACGGGCAAAAGGTGTGTCCTAGATGAGTATTCCATAGAAACAGAGGTTTTGTCTTGTTTAATTCTAAAAGGAGTTGGGGTCTGTGATGTCCAAAAGATGATGTCTGAGTCCTTGGTCTCCTGAAGATGGACAGTATATAATGAGGAATTATCTGAGTTCAGACTGGTATTGTAGGCAATAGCAATGAAAATAACATACACACTCATGTGTGTGTGTTGGGTATATAATTTTATACCCAACAAAGCACTTCTAGTCACAAAAAAATGCTTTCACATTTTCAGCTGGGCATAAGCAGTGAACGAAATGTAAATTACTTATGGTCATGAAATCATTTGTGCGCCATTAAAAGATACACCATCCTTGTATTATGAGGTGATTTTGAAATGCTCATTCTAGATTTACCCTAGTATTCTCACCCTGATAGAAGAGTCAAATAAACTATATGCTTTCAGGGGCACCTGGGTGGTTCAGGGGTGCCTGGGTGGCTCAGTTGGTTAAGCACCTGCCTTCAGCTCGGGTTATGATCCCAGGGTCCTGGGATGGAGCCCGGTGTCAGGCTCCCTGCTCAGTGGGGAGTCTGCTTCTCCCTCTCCCTCTGCCTCCCACCTCTCCACTTCGCTCATACTCTCTCTCTCTCTCAAATAAATAAATAAAATCTTAAAAAAAAAAGCAGCTATATGCTTTCAATCTCTAATAGGATTTCAGTTCTTGAACATTTAGTTTTATAATCTCTTACGAAAAGTCCTCCTTTCTGAACTTCAGTGGCATAAAAAAGTAGATGAATATGAGTTCAAGTGGTATGTATAATGTGTAACAATTTTAAAATTTGCATTTATTTTCCAAACCAAAGCACGAACCAAAGTAGGCTGATAAAATGGCTTCATTTTTCATTTTTCTACTCTTATGATTTTGGTTACCAATTTAATTTTCTACTGTTACCTTAACTTCAGTTGATTTCCACCCCTCATTCTAGAAATTAACAAGACTATTATGGTTTTTGTACACTTATCATACCCACTTTTTAGGAAATAAAAGAAATCAATCTTTAAAAATTACATTAATTCCATCCTCTGAGCACAGGTATAAAGGTAATTTGGGTAATGAAAGCAAATGTATAGGACTGTGAACCCCTGAGGGTAACGCATAAAAATCGAAACACTCTCAAAACTGGAAAAAGTAAAGTTAACTCTGATCCATTTTTCTTAATGTATTGAAACAAAAGCCACAATCGCTTCTCGGCCTTCTGGCTAACATCAAGTGAAACCAAAAGCCACTGCTACTACTGGGGATTTTAGAAAATAGACCTACATAGATAGGCCAATGACTGTGGTATTCACTTTCTAAAAATTATCACATACTAACTATAAAAACTGTTCTTATCTAAGGGATGATGCATGTACTGAGCTTGAGTATTCATATCAAGACCAAAAATGTAGGGCACTTGGGTGGCTTAGTTGGTTGAATGTCCAACTCTTGATTTTGGCTCAGGGTCGTGAGATCGAGCCCTGCATCTGGCTCTGCACTCAGCAGGGAGTCTGCTTGAGATTCACTCTCTCCCTCTCCTTCTGCTCTCCCCACCAAAAAAAAACCCCAAATATGTATGATTCTGAGTTATGGGATTAGAAAGGAGTGCTCACAGCTTTGGATTATGGACTAAGTCTTATTGTGGCCAGATCACAATTTGAATGAATGAATCAAGAATGATTTGAGACATGTTTGACCTTCTAAGATCTTAAAGAGTCAGAAAGAGCTGTGTTTTGTATTGTATCTTATAAACCGACAGTCCTCAAAGTGTGGCTCAGGGACCTCTGGGGTCTCCTGGATCCTCTCAGGGGGTCTGTTATGTCAAGATTATTTTTATAATAGCATTAAGACATTATTTGCCCTTTACACTCTCATCTCATGAATGCACAGCGGAATTTTCTAGAGGCTACTTGACAAGTGATGGCATCATCTCTCTGATAGCCCATAGAATTGTATGTGTGTATATTCTTGTGTTTAAAACATCTTTCAATTTTGATTTCTAATATGGAAATATCAATGGATAATAACCCACATAAATCAAAGCCATTTGTGGTCATCAATCATTTTAAGTGTAAAGGCATCCTGAGATCAAAGAGTTTGAAAACCACAGGTCTATACTAATTGTAGAAAAGAATGAATTCTGTACATTCCATGAAACCCTAAAATACACTGTAAAAGAAACCTGGAGTCCTGAAGGATGTGTTTAACTGCTTAGTTTTGTCTGTACTACCATGGGCTACAGGCTACTATGGCCATAGTGCTGGGTTCTTTTAATGAAAGACGTTGAAGTCTTACCACCAGGTTAGCTGTATTAGAAATCTATTAATACAGTATAAAAGTGCAATTTTGTTGCAAATTTTTTTCAAGAACATTAGATAGAAGTCAGTCTCTATAGAATCTCTACAACTTTGATTTTAACTTATTATTAATTCTGTTCCACAGTTTACATGCTAATTAAGTATCACTAGGTGTATTGGCCATATCCTTTACAGACTCATAAAAACCCAAATGACTTATCTTTTGATACATATTGTAATAAGAATGTATTTTCAAACAGAAATTTAGTTTATATTAAGAAGATATACTTTTCGACAATAGTCTAACTTGGTCAATCTTCTATATTCAATTCCCAAACTGATGTGACAGAGTAGAAATCTATTTAGAAGTGATAAAAAGTAAGACAGCAACTTTCAGTCCACTGACACAATTGGGACAATGAAATGGGCTCACCCATTCTTTCAAATATCTTTTATTTCACCTCCTTAATTTGCTATTTGTTTACTTATAGGATGATAACAGATAATAAACTGTAAATTCCTCATTTTGACACATAATTCACATAAATCTGGCTTCCCCAGAGCCCACGGAGGTACAAAGCTGTCCCAGGGTCCACAGTGTAAGATGAGAAACTAAGGAGTGGGTGGGGCTCTGAGTTCCTGCTTCATCCAGATCTGGTTGAAGCGATTCGATGCAAAAAATAACTACTCCTTTCCCCCTTTTTGAGCTAAATGACTTTATTGTTAATGATAATGCTCATAATAATAAAATAAGTTTGTGTTCAAATCCATTCTCCTCTAAGGGCTCCAACAAAATTTAGCAAAAACATGTTACTCATATAATTTCATTAGAAAAATGAGGATAAGTATTATGCCCATTTTTCAGATGAAGTAACAGAAAAAACAAAACAAGAGTTATTTTCCATTCACAATAAGTAACATTTCTAGGGTAGCATCCAGGTCTCTTACCCATATTTTAACTACTGGTCTATTGCCAAGAGTAATAAAACCAACCAAAATTTGTATTGTATTTTCTGGTTTGTACCTTAGATTCAGATCTAGTCACTTCATTTTTACCTAACAGCAACCCCATAAGCGTTACACTTGTCTGTCATTTCTTCGTATCTGAGGTTCAGAGACATTAGGGACCCATGCAAAGTCACATATCTAGCAAGTGGACACTCAAGGCTAAACCTAATGTCTTTGGGTGCCAACATTTTAACTAGGAGGCTGTTAGTGAGTAATAATTGTTCTAGTCCATTAAGTGGAAGAAACAAACTAGACAAGGGTAGAGCTTCTTTCTTCTCTTCCCTTCTCCCTTCCAATTTTGAACCCCTCAGGACAACAATAACTTGGACATCCATCCAGCTTGGAGTCCAGTGGGAACAGAACATGAATAAAACAGGATTGGGGAGAATGGGCCATGACAGCGAGGTGAATGATCCCATAGTCCAATAAAGCTGACCCCTAAGCCTATCACACTGGGTCAGAAGGTCCAATTACAGGTCTGTTCCAGTTCTTTTTATGACTGACAGCAGCCAGAGGCAAAATTACTTTGGTGTCTGTTAATCCAGCCTCTAATTTTCCCTTTGCCCCAATACACACAGAGCATCCTGGTGGCCCAGGGTGAGTGATACTGTGAATCCAGATTTAAAGTGCCCTTGTTGCCTAGAAGAAGAGCAACTGAGTTCAGTCCCGGTTCTCCTCATGGGGACATTACCTGCAGCTCTGTTTGGAAGAAAAACTTCTGCGGACATTGTGTGCAGTCATAGATCTTGTCTTCTTGTCCATGGGCAGAGAAAATATGCTGCTGCAACTTGTTTGCTTGAACAAACACTGAAATGATAAAAGGATGGTGAACTTTGGGTTATTTTCTTCCTGCAATGCCCTCGGTCGATGACTCCCCGTGAAGAGCCCCAGACTGAGCAACCTCAGTGGCACACCTTCTGGGTGTGACCACTGCCAGGCACTGGGGAGGGCTGAGTCACACTTGCTCGTGGTTGGGTCGCTGGCTTTTGTGAAAGTGCACTCTACCAAGTGCCTAATTCAACCCAAACAGCTCCGAAGTCAAGGTTTATTGAGGCCCCGCTCCCTATAAATCTTTTAAAAATAAAGCTGAAAATTGTCAAATGCACAGCACTGTCTGAACAGAAATGACTCTTATTTCTCAGCAACCCACAGGTTAAGAAATCATAGATGCCAAAACCCTGTTTATTGTATTTGCCTAAAGTTCCAGCTAGCAAACAGTTCTCTATTTGAATGTGTTAATGCTAAAAATTATATCCCACAGCTACTCTGGGGCACTGTCTATAAATGTGAAACAGAACTGCAGGTAAATTCTCTTTGGATACTTTAAGATCAACTCAGCCTACACACTGAATGCAAGGGTTTCAATAATATAAACATGTTCAATTTTAATGACTACAAAACAAGGCCCTAAGACTGTGTAACAGTTTACCTAGGAGACATACTATTAATAATTAAATTGTATATGCCAGAGGCAGTGTTTGGGTTGGCAGAACTGACTTCTGATGGATGCCTGGTGCACTGTGACCTAAAAAAGTTTGCATCTACAATATTAATCTGTATAGGCAGGGAAAGGATTTATTAAAGATGTTGGCATTTGACTTTGACTCCACTCTAATCATTAAAATTATTCTAATTGCCCGCCAACCTAAAATATTAGAATATTGTTCTTGTGAGTCATACATTTTAATCACATTTCTCATTACCTTAAAAAACTACTCAGATTTCTTCTCTCCCACCTAACACACTTTATACTGGAAGTTTTTTTTTTTTTTTTTAATTGTTATTTCTAAAATTACTTCAAGATACACTAAAACAATTCAGGTCTGTCCGCACAGAAAATGTAGACTGCTCATGTTTAATGCATTTTTGTCTCTTACCTACATCAACAAAAAGAAATGGGGTTTTTATACAGATTTGCAACTGATCTCCATATAACTTAGCACATTTTATGAGGCTTCTGGCTACAACATCAAATAACTATTTTATTAGGGGTCTTAATCATGAGGAGATCTATGACCCAGTCTTCCTGATGAAGACTTATTATGAGCTTTTATAAAGAACTCAGACTCCTGACTCATGGTATCTTAAGATGAATACTATGTTATGGTAAAAATATAACAATATATATTTTTATCTTAACTACGGAGAACTGCTGGTTACCAGAGGGGAGGGTGGTGGGGGGATGGGTATAATAGGGGATGGGGATTAAGGAGGGCACTTGTTGTGATGAGCACTGGGTGATGTACGGAAGTGTTGAATCACTATATTGTACACCTGAAACTAATAAATCACTGTATATTAACTACCTGGAATTAAAGTAAAAACTTAAAAAAATAAACAAAAGAATTTTAAAAAGCAAGCCTTCCCCCCACCCTAAACCCAATACATATTTTTAAATACAAATTGAAAGAATAAAAAAAAAAGAACAGTTCCATGAGGGGTGGCTGATGAAATTACTGAACAAGAATGAGCCTCACAGGCAAATGTTGAAGAAAGAGCCATCACGACACTCAAGTTCTACTTGTGGTAACTGGGCAATGAACATGGCCCCTCTCCTATTTTGTTACAGGATAGAAATCTATAGGCTGAACACAGAGAAGGTTAATAATCAATGTCTGGAATCTTGCTGTGCAGACAAAGAAGCCAGTTTTCAGAGAAGGATATATTTTTGTTTTGTTTTGTTTTGTTTTTTGTTTTTTGTTTTTTTAGACAAATAAGAAGGAAACATAGCCTTGAGGGGCTTGACCATCAAGTTCAAGACACATGCAAAATGATCACAAAGGATTTTCCAAAATAACTTCCTCACTGTTGGGGGAGTACCAGAAACGTGTGTGATCATATTTCAACCCCTGTGGGGTTCAAATTATAGTTTCTGATTTATATATTTTTTTGCTGCTGTTGCTGAAAACTCTAGTACTACAACATCCAATAAAAGTTTCTTCTCAAAAATGTACATTTATATCAACGTCTACTTTTAAAATCCAATTTCATAGGAAATAAACGCCTCATCTAATCTGTTTATCTAATCTGTTTTCTAGTTCAAAGATTTTGGGAGGGTTTTAATAATATCTTTTTTATTTCTTATGGGGACTGTTAGAAAATTCTCCGTGTTTCAATAACAGACATGGGCTGGGCAACATGACTGCATTCTAGTCAGACGGCTTGCGATTCAGAAGCCGCTTGGTGCAGGCACTCTGACTTGGTGACCTTTCAACACCAAAAGGAGAAAAGTGAACAGAACCTGGATGTCGTTTTCCAGATGGAAAAGTGCAAAGTTCTGCGAGAGCTCGAAATGCCATTTGTTCATCCTAACAGTTAACCTTCCTGCCCATTTGAGCCTTTAAGTAGGCAGCAATCAATGTTAATCAGCAGAAATCAAACATCTTCTCCCCAAATTGAACCAAAGTCATATCCGTAAAAGGCCGCAGCAGTGGGGATACGCTTTGGTAGGAAAGATGTGATCTGGCCATGGAGCTCTCTAGAGTTTCCTACCTGTGAAGCAGACGGGGCACTTGAAGGTACCTCCCATCCCTTCGAAGCTGTGCTCGATCAGATGGCACTGGAGTTTGGCAGGGGAGTCGAAGGTCTGGCTGCAGAGTTTGCATTCGTGGTTCAGTCCTTCATCTGTTAAGGGGAATACACGAGCAGAAAAGTTGAAACCCCCCCATATCTTTAATAGACAAGTGAATTCACTATAACGGCACACATTAAACGATTTCCGTCACCGAATAGAAATACATAGTAGCGTATAAGGGTTTTGGTTACTATTTCACATTACCTATGAATTTATATCAATTTAAAACATTTCTGGAATTTAACCTCCAAAAATAATCAGAAGGCAGAGTTTGTCTTAGGGTAATGCATTTTGTTCAGCTTTTCCAGTATAATTAGATGTCACTATTAAGGCGTCTCCTTTTCACTATCATGTTTTTATGGCTGTGTGTTTCTGAAGTCCTAAAATAATGGACCCATAGGAAAATGGACAGCTTCTTCCTCAGGCCTCTCCTCTGGTTTACTTAGAAGGTTCTACAAGTTTCTATTTCTAACTATAACGTTTTTAGTGGTATTCCCACAACTTTCTTTTTCTATTCCCAAGATGTTCAGGCAATTTTGAAATATTATTCATGCTTATAGCATATCCTATAAGTGCTTTATTTTTTCTGCTTGGGACTCCCAGTTCCCCATATCTTCTCAGTTCAGTGTCCCCTCTACTTTGTAAGACAGTTTTAATTTTACCTGGTAATCCAGACTGCCTTTCTTCAAAGGAGCTTCTACGAGCTCCAACCTCACTTTTTTTTTTTTAAAGATTTTATTTATTTATTTATTTATTTGAGACAGAGAGAATGAGAGAGAGAGAGCACATGAGAGGGGGGAGGGTCAGAGGGAGAAGCAGGCTCCCTGCCAAGCAGGGAGCTTGATGCGGGACTCGATCCAGGGACTCCAGGATCATGACCTGAGCCGAAGGCAGTCGCTTAACCAACTGAGCCACCCAGGCGCCCTCCAACCTCACTTTTGACTAGTCCTGGATTTTTCTTTATATCTTAGGGACAAGATGATAGAAAAATATTTTGATGTAATAATAATTGCTACATAATGTGAAGAGTTTCTGTTGTTGGATGCCATTATTTTTATGTTGCTTTTGTCCTTATTAAAACCTTCCTGCAATTTAAAATTTAAAGATTATTCCAACTTATTTCAACTTGCAATTATAAGAAATGAAAACCAGTAACACTAGAATGAACAACCTCACATTTCTTTAGTGTTTTCTAAACTGTTTTAGACACTGTTGTTCTAAGTGCCCACACATAGAAATTAATTTAACAACTACAATCAGTCCCATTTTATAGATGAGAAAAATGAGGCCCAGAGAGTTTAAGTGATTTTTTTCCGAGTCAAACGGGCAATACTTGGTGGAGCCAGAACTGAACTCCAGGCATCCTGGCCTCAGGGTCCACGATCTTAGCAAATAGGCTCTGCCTTACACCAACTCCCAGACGACTTCTCAGAGGAAGGGCTGAGAGGCTGCAATTTAACCAAGCTTGTTATCAAGTTATACTTTTATCTTCTCCTATTTGCAGTGATTAAAAATGTTATTAAGGAACATGAGTGTCAGATATTCTCGGTCTAGGGAATGAAAGGCATATTCACACCATGGGGGCAACAAGTCTATCCTCCAAATGTATCTCCTTCCATGCAACATGACGCGCACGTGTAAATCCTTCACCAGCTGATATTACTGGCAACACAAAGGCTCAATTACAAAGTGAATTATTATTAGCTAACTAGGAGTAAAATCACTCTATTTGTATTCCTAATCTTTCTTCTCACACAAGTATGAGTCTTTAGAAGCAGAGGATTGGAATTTGTAAAAAGAGAAGCAAAGCACTAATTAAGCCACCCAGTACTGTCTACATTTCACAAGAGATAAAAACCTACTCTGTATTTGGGTGGCACAGTAAATTCCTTGATTATAATTATGTAAGAAGGAGTTTAATTGTGCATACTGACATGACAAGGGGTTATACAAAAAGCTTTAGGGATTATATAAGATCAAGGGGTTTTCATCTGTTCCTTTCTCTCTCTCTTTTTTTAATCCTAAAGTCACTAACATTTTTCCAAATTTTAGATATTAAGAAATATCAGGAACACAATTTATTGTAGGGACTTAGGTCAGTAAGTTGATCAACAGAAAAACTTGCCAAATTTAAATGTTTTCTATTTCCTCAATGCTGCATACCTTACTTTGGTGATAAGAAGGTAACCAGGAGTTCAACTTTCATCTTTAAATCGTGTGTTTGGCACAAGAACCAAGATGCGGCCAATGGGTGTGAGCAGATATACACATTTGTTCCAGAATTCTTAACCTTACAATATTTATGAAGAAACATATATAAGCCTGGTTGGCTTTCTAGAGGATAATGACTGACTGTTCTGTGAAAACAAAGTGAATTATGCAAGTTAGAATGATCTTTAATATGATGTTATGTTTCTTGACTCTGAGTATTTTGTTTGGAAAATTAATAGGAGAAATATATATGTGTACGAATACAAAGAAAATGTCATCAATTTTTATTTATTTCCTATCCTGAGAACAGAGAAGTTCTATCCCAAAACATTACATAACCTAAATTTAGTCAAGTGAATTCACAAGAAGGTGACACAAAGTCATAAAGCATTTATGCATTATTAGTGCAGACTTAGTTTTCATGAATCCCATACTTGGTGAAGGCACTAAGTGATAGCAATGTTAACAATAGCTTCCAGCATTTTCAGAACTTTTTATAGTGTAACAGCACATTTTAATATTGAAAAATAAACCCAAACAAACATGTTGGGAGTTCTACCTGCCTTTCATTTCTATGTTCATTTCTATGTTAGAGGTCTTTTCCAACAAGTAACTTTTCCTAGCTATTTGAGTAAGATAGAAAATACATCTGAATTACTACACAGCAAATGGTAGATAAGCGAAAGCCAGTGTGCTCTAAGCTAGACAGGGCACACATCTACACATTTCTCCCACCTTTATTAACTTCCCTACTCATTTTCCCCGTGCTCATACTTGCTTATTTACACAGGGTCGAATGGATAATGAGTGAGAGTGACAGAAGGACCCAGAACACTTTTACCACTGGTTAACAGAACTCATTTTGTATTTTTTAACCGAAGAAGAGGGCAGAGAGAGTAATGGCAAACTAAGAAAATGTATTTATAATAAGAATTTCAAAAGTTTATCCTTACTCAGAGTCTCTGTTTAACTCAGCTCCCGTACATTCTCTATTTACATTGTGTGGCGAAGAACAGGGTCTTAATTTTCAAAGAAATCCTAAAAAAATCCTCAGTACTTGGGGATCTACCTTAGGTAAGCCCTGTTTCCTTTCAAAACTGAGCTTCTCTCTTATTTTTTTTTTTTTTTAAGATTTTATTCATTTATTTGACAGAGAGAGAGATAGCGAGAGCAGTAACACAAGCAGGGGGAATGGGAGAGGGAGAAGCAGGCTTCCCGCCGAGCAGGGAGCCCGATGTGGGGCTCGATCCCAGGACCCCGGGATCATGACCTGAGCCGAAGGCAGACGCTTAACGACTGAGCCACCCAGGCGCCCTGAGCTTCTCTCTTCTTGCGATCTGGTAGGAGGGGGTAAGGAACTGGAAAGTTGCACTGTGGCTTTAATTTAAAGTTGACGTTCACGAGGTGCCAGTATCAACATCTCTGATTCCAGGCAAACTTGAGCCTCAGGCTCAGGATTTTGCCAACGGAGCCACAACCTGCACCTTGTCTTTTTATCTCCCTTCTTCCTTAAGGTGCCAAAATCCTAAAAATTCAATCAAAGTAACCATTTCTGCTCTCCGGAAAGGTAGCAGCTGACAGTAATTGGATAATACAGTCTGACTCATTTATTAAAAAGAGATTCTGAGTCAATTGATTTAATAACCATTACAATATTCCATTAAGGATGTAATAGGCTAGTGCAGCCCTATTTTTTTTATTGAGTTACAGAGGAGATCTATGGGTGAAATTTCTAGATTTTTCTTCCCTTTTTGCTTATCTATAGTCTTCAGATTTTCCACAATGAGTATAATTTGCCTTTGTAGGTGACTTTGAAAGTTAAAGACTAAAAAGCACTACCCTCTCTAGACCCTATTAACTACCACACTGAAATTCTGATGGCCAAAAGGTTACACAGGAAATGGGCAATAATATGGAGGACAGAAAAACTCCAGTTCTGGACACTACTAGGCTGAAGAGTATTCTAGCCAAGTACATGTGAGAGCAGAGATTAGCACAGGGAAAGGGAGAAAGAAACAGAGTGTAAATTTAGTCAAATGAATGAGAAGAATATGGAGCTTTCATTATAAACCTGCATCTTTCCAGAACAAAGAGAAAACCCCTGTTTGTTGTGTGCTGGTGGAGGGGAGCATGTGTGCGGCCAGCACTGTTGGTCCAAGGTCAGGAAGGGCAAGAGTGAAGCTGTCACCACTGAGAACATGTTGGAGGCCACCGACTTCCCATCCTGGTCAACCACTTGAAAGCATGACCAAAGATGGCGTGGATATAATTGAGAAATAATTTCCCATGCACAGAAATTTCAGCTCAAATAATTACTTCCACTTGTTAATCTGCATTTAAGTGTGAACATAAATGTAAACAGGAATCGAGTCTACATAGAAGACACTGATACTAATGTAAATATTTACTCCGCTGTTAAATGTTGAAAAGGAAAAGAGTCTGAATACATAATTGCAATACAACCTCAATGCTTTCGTAGGGAATGTGATGATCATGTCCAAAACTTTGTGCTATAAGAACAAAATCTGTTTATGGGAGGCCAGTTCAAAGGGGAATGATCATTTCTATCTCTCCAATTTATAAAACGTGGACCAACACAACTATTAATCAGCCAGCTTTGTAACAGAAAAAAATAATAGTTGCCATTTGGATGCTCAAGCACAACACAAGTTGTAAGCTCCAACATGGCAATTGTAAGCATAACAGAAGACACTGACATTTCAATATAAGCTTTAAACAAGAGAAACACTTTAAGCAGCCTCCAGACTGTGTGTCCCATGTTTATACTCCTTTTCCTTCAATAAAAACAAAAATCTAGAGCAGCTACAAGCAAATGTTC